AAAAATATAATTCACCCTCAAAGATTAAATATATAAAACTTTCATCTTTTAATCTGAAAATCTTGATTTCATAATTATCCTCACTTAAATCCTAAACAAAATAACATATTTTAATTACCCTTTGTTAAATCCTAAACAAAATAACATATTTATATATCAATAGATCTAAAATTTTGAATTAAAAGATCAAACTAAAATAAGAAAGTTAATTTAAAAAAATTTATTTAACACACAATTTATATTATGTATGTTATTATCTAATCAAAAGTTATAAACAATATATATGAAATAAAGCATTTTATATTTACAAACATAAACAACATACATAAAAAGTCAAGTATTGAAATGCAAAAAATTTTAAAAATGAAAGAAAATCAAATACTTTTATCCAAAATTATGAATGAAAATTTTTCGAATAAACAAAATCATTTGAGTTGAAAATTTTCAAAAATTTCTATTTAAATGTAGATAATAAGTTTATCCACAAGTCATTTATCATCCACTTTGTTACAAAATTCTATTATAACAATTTTCATTGCAATAAATACTTTTTTAATGGCTATTATAAAAATGAAAAGAGTCAATAAAAAACAATCAATCAATCATAAAAGAAGCTTACTATTTTTGGATTTAAAACCACAAGACAAAGTGTAATGATCTTATCATGAAAGAAGCTTTCACTATATTTTGCATTGTGATTGTGATGAAGCTCTTTGAAAGGAAAAAAAATAAATTATTATATAATAAATAAGGTAGCTTGATGTTTTGAGGATAGGATTTGTGTCTTTTTTTCTTTTATTTCAATCTTATTTTTTTTTTAGATAAATTATAATTTTATTGTCTAAAAAGGAATAAGTATTGTTACAAATCAACTATACAACGACCAATGCTAATTGCACAAAAATTACAAAACAAAACTTGCTTTACATAAGTCCCATCTCTCACCTAAGTTTATGTTGACCCAATTAAACATAAAATTTTTTAATCCCATCAATCTAAATCTGATATTTTCTTGATCTGCTTTAAAAACTGCTTACTAGCACATTTTTTCTTGTTGAACTGCCTTTTATTTCTTTTCTTCCATATCAAGAAAATGAATACTCCCTAAGCTAATCTTTATAGGATAGAGAGCAAAAGACTTCCCTCGAAGTCTCTCCATCATTCATTGAAACTCTTCATCTTATCTATTAAAGATCACCGCAGCTCTGATATCACTTGTTGAAAAATAACCACAGCTCTAATACCACTTGTTAAGCCAATCAGCCTCAATTCTATCACACTAGTGAAAGCAAAATCAAATAATCAATCAATCACACGAGACAATAATTTAACGTGATTCAACCCAACTGACCTACATCCACAGATGAGAAATAAGATCTACTAGTTGTAGAGAGTTATAAACATACAAATCAAATCACTCATAACTAACACCCATAGACCCTTTCAATCTCTTATAGTCTTATGAAGTATTCTTAACCCAAACAAATACATACTTATATGCACTTTTTCAACACAAACAAATACATATCCATATGTATCCATTCATTTTATCTATGTGGACCCTCTCAATCTTTTTCAGTCCACTTTCATGCACTATACCTATGTAGATTCTCTCAGTCTCATCTAGTCCACTCAAACATACACACCCATAAAGATGTTAAATCTCCAGTAGTCCTATAAGGTGTCTATCTTATAAAATCTTATAACTCTTTTAATTCTTTTTTTCATACCTAACCCTATAGAGATTTTACTATTTATAAGCATATAAACTTTCTTATTAAAATTTTTTTTTTTAGAATTCTTCTTCTACAAGTCAAACTTGCCTATTAAGAATTTTTTTCTCTTAGAATTCTTCTTTTACAAGTCTTTTTGTCTATCAAGTAATATTTAACCAATCATAAACAAATTTGCTATGGAATTTGTGTCACTATTTCTAACAATCTCTACATTGACTTAAATTTCATCAAATCATCTATCTTCATGCTAGACATGCTTAGCTACATTTACAATGAAAGCCTCACAATTATCTTCTCTTGTGTGTCTTCATGTTTCATGCAAACCAATCCTCAATTCTCAAAACTTAAACTCAAACTCTTCTTTTGAATTGAGCTCCTCTAGGTTTGTTTCTTCCCATGGCTCGAACCTTCAACTCTTTTCATGTCTTGAAACTTCAGCTCTGATACTACTTGTTAGGGATCATTGTAGCTCTGATACCACTTGTTGAAAAATTACCACAGCTCTGATATCACTTGTTGAGAAATCACCATAGCTTGATACCACTTTCTTAGGCCAAATAGCTTCAATCACATAAGAGACAATAATTTAACGTGATTAAGCCTAATTGGCCTACGTCTATGGATAAGAAACAAATAATCAATCAATCACACAAGAGATAATAATTTAACGTGATTCAGCCCAATCGATCTGCATCCACAGATAAGAAACAAGATCCACTAGTTGTAGAGAATTACAAACATATAAATCAAATCACTCATAACTAATTCTCATATACCCTCTCAATTTCCTCTAGTCTTATGGAGCATTCTTAACTCAAATAAATATATACCAATGTACACTCTTTCAACACAAACAAATACATATCCATATGTACTCATTCATCATACCTATGTGGATCCTTTCAATCTTCTTTAGTCCACTCCTATGTACCATACCTATGTAAATTCTCTCAGTATTTTTTAGTCCACTCAGATGTATACACCCATAAGGACGTTAAATTCCCAGTAGTCTTATAGTGTGTCTATCTTATAAAACCTTACAACTCTCTTATATTTTTTTCTCATACCCAATCCTATAGAGACTTCACATATTTATAAGCATACAAACTTACCTATTAATAATCCATTTCCTCTTAGAATTCTTTTGCTGCAAATCAAACTTGCCTATTAAGAATCCATTTTCTCTTAGAATTCTTCTTTTGCAAATCTTTTTGTCCATCAAACAATATTTAACCAATCTCAAACAAATCTGTTATGAGATTTGAGTCACTATTCCTAACACCATCTAGCGACTTCCTTGCACGGATGATAGAGCCTTAGCATTTGTGTCCACACCGCCTTAGAATAGTTGCAGCTAAAGAAAATATGGTTTTAAGTTTCCACCTTTGTTTACAAAATACTCAAGCTCCATCAATCATAATCCGCAAAAATTCAATCAATCCTTTGTAGGAAGTCTATGCAGGATCGCCATCCAAGCCAATATAGCACTTTTTTGTATACGAAGCTCACATCAAATGAGCCTATGCTATGCAACCTTTGTCTGCTTAGGTCGCAGTTCTTTCCAAACTGCTATGGCCGAGAAGCTTGAGCCCCCAGTATTCCAAATAGTCCCTTCCTCCATTTGCACCAAGAATCTGATTGCTAGACTCTTTAATTGCAGTAGTTTTTTCACACACCAACTTTTTTTTTTTGTTTTGCATAGCTTTTTTAGGAAATTTGACTTTTTAACGTGGATCATGTTTAACGAAGTTATTTTTTTAGTTTTTTTAAAAGGAAAATTAAACTATTAAATACTATTACTTTTTATAAATTGGTTGGATTTTTGAGAATTGAATTGTTTTATAAAATTAAACCTTTATAATCACAAAGAACACTTTCAATTTTTTTTATGAACCTTTTTTTTTTTTTTTGACGGGATAACTTTGTATATATAAAAAATAAATAAGCTGGGGTTTTCAATTTTTTTTAGGACATGGCCTTCCTCCAACATGGCTCCGCCGCTATATTTAAAGTGAAGGAAACTCTAAATGAAAGACCCATCAAAAGAATAACTTCTAATAAAATCTTCACGGTAATAGATAAACTAAATACATATACTAAAAATATAAAAGTAACGCTTTATATATATATATATATATATATATATTAATCCAAAGCAAAAACATATATTGCCCAAAATGGCATTAATAACCTTGAATTGCACACTTTGTTGGTTGGAGGAGGCATGCCAAATATTAGAAGTACATATAGATTAATCTTTTTACTGCTCAAAATTAAATTAAAAAAAAATTGTTTTTGGCCTAATTGTATTCTTTGATGTTATTAGTGTTATATATAACAACATTATAAAAATAAAAAATAAAAAAAATCAAAGAATACCAAATCTAATCAAATTGTGACTTTTGGACATCAAACCAAAATCCTAATCCTTATAAAATAAAAGCAAGTAGCTTTTTTTACTTGATTGCCAAGAAATCTTTGGCTCACCAACATATAAATAATTGCTCCCTGCTTGATGAAACAGAAAGAGTACTGATCTCCTTTTTTTGTTCCAAATTGCAAATTGAACTCGGTTTTAATGTCCTTCATTAATAAAATCCTCTTCCCACTGCGGAAAAAGAAGAAAACAGATGAAGGAAAACGAAAGCAATCGACTCCATCTTTTTGCGGCTCCTCCGGGACTTGTTATGAAGCCAAATTGATAGCTGAAACTCAAAATTTTTTGCAAACCAAGCCAGATTGTTCGTTGAACGTGAGTCGTCTAAAAAGAAAGTTGCATGATATCAATTCCCCGGAAAATAATCCAATGAAGAATCAGAAAGGGAAAGAAATAGTTGTGGAACTCGAAGAATTATCCTTCCCTAGAGCCACTAGTTATCCACAGCCTGGTGAATCTTCTAATACAACCTGGTTTTGCAAAATTTGCATGGAACCAAAACCAGCTTCGATGATGTTTAAAGTGACCCGATGTAATCATTCCTTCTGCTTTGCTTGCACTCGACGGCATATTGCGACGAACCTGAAGGACGAAAATAAGATAGAGGTATGTTGTCCTGAGTCTAATTGTCAAAGCTTGATTACACCGAAAAAGTGTAAATCAATCCTGCCATGGGAAGTGATTTATAGATGGGAAAACACCTTGTATTACTCTCAAACACCGCCAATTCTGACATTTGATTGCCCTTTGGAGGATTGCTCAGCTAAGATAGTAGATGATGGAAAAGATATTGGTGTGGTTCAATATGAGTGCCCTGCATGTCATAGGAAAATTTGTGCTGAGTGTAGAGATTTCGTGCATGAAGGTATGGATTGTGATGCATTTAAGGTATTGGTCGAACGTGTGATGGAGGATGCAGAAGAGGAAAAACTTGACTGTGCATTGTTGAAGCTTGCTGAGAAGGAAAATTGGAAGAGGTGTCCTAATTGCAATGACTTTGCTGGAAAGACAGAAGGATCTAACAAACTAGAATGCTGGTGAGTTGCTTTAACTTCTTTCCTATTTCTTCATCAATTATATATGCTCAATGCTATTAATCCTTTTAGTTCTAAATGCTGGAATTTAGTACTGAAGTCTAGGAAATTATATGATCATAATTCAAGAATGAAAGTATACAAGACTTTAATCATCATTTTAGAAACATATAATTAAAGGGTTAAAGAGTGGATTTTTTCTTACTTACCAACCAATCTGCTGCCCTCAAGAAAACTGGATTTCAAACCTTCACGTTAGAGATGGAATCAAAGGTTTAATAGAGAAAAACTAGGCATAGGCTCATGGCATGTTTTTGTGGTAGAAGAATTCACTCTATTCATATATACTTTATAGTAGACTTGACAATTTATATTTCTAGTGTTATATTTATTTTGTATCAAATACGTATAAAATATAAAAATTGTTTTATCACAATTTGTTTGAACATTTCAAACACAAATTTTTTTGTCAAATCCATATACAAATTTTGTTAAAATTTTAAATGATTTTATTTTTATTTTTTTAAATATGATATTATCGTATCGTATTTAAAATTGTTAGATGTTCATATTTGGTAAACAAAAATTCTCATACACAGGGGAAGTGAGAGATTATATCTAGTATTTTTTTTTCTAATGTATTGGATCCAAGGGAAAATAAAGAAAACAACCTCTATGTTCATGGACTCTTCACTTTATCCTAATTACAAACATATTCTTTGGGCACTTGAATATTTAGACTTATACAACGTTTAAACCCCCCAAATTAATGTAAAAATTTATAAAAAACATGACGTATCTGTGTTCGACACTCTATCCCCAATCCATATAACATAGAACAGCCTCATTGACCTTATCTATTGATGAAGTCTAGCTTGATCTCTCTAGTCTATAAACACATGGCCAAACATGAAAATTGATCAAGATCCCACCCTGCCATGTTGATTGGCAAGTTTGGGAAAGGAAATGGGAATTTCGAGTTGAAGCTTCTAAGTTCTAATTATAGAACAGAAGCTTCTGGTTGGCCAATTAACCCTGAATTACTTTTCTGTCATTTATGTAATTAGTAAATTATTTTTTTAACCTCATTTTGATTTATACACATTCTTCGCAATTGAAACTTTTTTGTTATCGTTGGTGTGTAGGTGTAAGTACAAGTATTGCTATGATTGCGGATCAGAGTGGAGCGAAGAACACTCGTGTTTTAACTCTTGAAGGCTTGTTGGGAATGGTATACAACAACGACAGTAGGAATTACATTAATTCATAACACAAATTCTATATAATTCTTAATATAGTTTATTTTTCATACTCAACATTTGCATATGTGAATTTAAATTTTGGGAGGAGTTGAAATTTCCTTCTCAAATACATATTATTAAGTTTGATTCTCGTGCAAGGTTTAATTGATCGTGAAATCGTTGAATTTTAAATTTAATTTTTCACTCGTTGAATTTTGAAAGTACATTAATCATTTGAATCAATCTAATCTAATTGTTTGCTAGTTTTTTAGTTGTTATTCTAATGCAATTATCCAAAATCTATAAGAAGACATATTTTCCATCTTAACATTTTAAAATTTTGACAACTTTTGATCAATTTTGACAATGTCATGCTGTCTTAACCCGTGCTACCACAATCCTTATATTTACTATTTTTAATCCAACCCAACACAATGTTCAATATTGGATTTTGTCAAGCCGGACCAACTAGCTTACTTTTGCCATCCTCTTACTTCAGAAAATTAAAGTAGATTCTTAGTGTAATTCACCCAAAATTGAGAAATTAATTTTCATTTTTCTCATTTTATTTTGCTTAAATAGGTTAATCGACTTAATTGTCGTTGTTAAGCTACTTTTTTTGAATAAATAAATGATTTTATTCATATTGCAATATTAGAAATGTGTTAAAGCAGTTGAGTTGATAAACTCCGAGACTTCCTCTACCCAAAAAAGATCTTCCGGTAATCTTGCTAGCACATGTGCTATTTCAATTCTTTCTCATAAAGTATGCTGTTTTAGGCAATCATCAAATTGTCCTATCCACTTCCTGCCATCCAGTAGAATTGATCCTATGCATGAAAGAATCTACTCATCCTTCCTCAGGCTCTTGATGATGTTTAGTGCATTCCCTTCCACAATTATCTTCTTGCATGCCAATTGAAATGCCACCTCCAAGACTTTAACTGTTGCCAAAGCTTCTATTACTCCAACATCAGACACTAGTTTTACATTCGTTGCTGCCAGTCCTATCACTTGTCCCATGTGGTCCCTTAACAGTACTTCGATACCCCTTTTTAAGTTGACAGTCCATTGCACCATCAAAGTTGACTTTGAAATGGGTGCTAGGTGGAGCCATCCATTTAACATGTCCCCGGAGTACTTGATTATAGAGTACTGCCCTTGCATTATGGTACTCTTCCAGGTAAGTTTTAGCCTTGATGAGAATGCTTAAACTGTTCATCTTCTGGTTCTGTTTAACCTCCTTGTTTCATGCATCCCATAGGGATCAAAGATACATTATAAACCGATCAAAGTTTGTTTTGTTAAGGAGATTTATTGCAGTTTCCAGCCATTCTAGTGTATAATTGGCGGGTGAAATTGCCATCTGCTACAGGAAATCACATCCTTTTAAAACTTTTTCGAGAAATGACACAATTTCTCAACGCATGCAACACTGTTTCATCCTCTCCCCCACACCTTGGATAACAAGAGTTCATTGAGTTTATTCTGGCTGAGAGGTTCCCAGCCGCTGGTAGTATTTGGTGAGCACATCTCCGCATGAACATCCTGACTTTCATAGGTACAGCCGCTTCCCAGATCATCCTCCATATCAACCTTTGATTCTCTGCATTCTGAGGTGGTACAAGCTACACATGATATTTTCTCTTAACTGAATATATGCCTTTCTTGTTGTAGTGTCAAACTATGCTATCTTGCATACCACTCTTACTTAAAGGAATCATGCATATTGTTTCTGCTTCTTGAGGTTTGAATTCCATGTGAATGATATCCTCCTTCCATAGACTTGTCTCCTTGTCAATCAACATAACCACTCTAGCATCTATAACAATCATAGTTACAAAGTGAGATCGGTTTGAATTGGATTAAATTTGATTTGATTTTTTGAATAATGTATAATATTATAAATTTATAAAATTTAATTCGAATATGAATCAATTTTTTTTTAAATCGATTTGATTTAAATGAAATTCTACATGTACAATTTAGCTTAGTTCATTGATTTTTAAATTTAAATTTTTTATTTTTATATATTATTTTAATATAATTTTTAACATATTTATATATAAAATAATTATTTTTATTTTATAAAAATTTAAAATATATAAAAATTAATAAAATTATATAATTCAATTTATTTTTTTAATTTTTTATATTTTGATTTGAAATTTAATTTAAATTTAATATATATATTTAATATATTATTTTAATTTAAATTAAATAAAAAAATCGATTAAATCAAATCGAATACTACGGCTTTACGTAAGACACCAACTCTCAATCTGATTCCACGTAATAGCAGATCTTTAGCCTCCTAAATATTTCTTTTCATAAGAAAGGGATTGTTTTCAATTTCAGCTTTCAAAAACATTTTGATGGGAAAAATAGCATTGGCTACTTTTGATATAGCAAAAGCCACTCAAACACAATTAACATGAATGAGCAATTAGTCATAAACCCAATTTAATATGATAATTTAATTTTAAAACATTGATGATAATCTAAATAATTTGAATCTTAAAATAATTGAAATTAAAAGTAACTTAATTTGAAGTGATTTTAGTTTGAACTATTTCAAAATCTAAATATGTAATAATTCTAATATATATGTAATGAAAAACATTTGAATTTTAAATGAATTGAAATAATCTAAACTCCAAATAATTTGAATCATCCTAATTGTAACACTTTTTTAAGTTGTTAAAAACTTAATTATTTTTTCAATATAAGTTTAAATGATTTTTATATTATAATATCTTACCTGTAAGAAGGTCCTTGTAAAAATATCTTGACAATTTCAGTCTCACTCTTATCAGAAACAGAGAGAACATAAAAATGGTAGTCTCTACAACGACTCTCTCCATCGGCGGCAATATGTTCTCCAGTCAGCGTTGGCAGTGGGAGTCTCACGAATCGAAGCTTTTTCAAAAACCCAGAAAGCATTTTCGATGGTTATACCTTAATGACCTCCATTTGCTACGCTACAGAAACAAATCCTTGAATTTCAACCCAAGGGGAGGCTTCCTGCCTTCACTTCATGCTTATGGCAAAGAAGCTGAAGATAGCTTTCTCTCTGTATGATTCATTTCTCTTTCTGGTTACTTTTGACAAAACAAGTGTAAAAAGGATAGGAATTAAGCATGGTTCAAGTTAATGTTTTGTTCTTAAATCTTAAAGTTTCTGTCTTGAAAATTTAAGTTTCAATTTTGAATTGTTCATGTAAATTTTGAGCATATGAGAGGATTCTTACTGTGTTCTGGCAATTTCTCATAGAATATTAAAGCTGAAGATTTGTTTTTAATAGTAATAGTCGTACATTAATTGATTTGCTGTTAATGATTTGTATCTTATGGACATGTTTATGTATCCCAGGGTGATAGCTATTCTGTATAGCCATACATCCCTTGACCATGTTCTTTTTGTTCCTCGAATGATTGTCTAAATAAAGTGATACCCTTTGCAGAATGTAAACGAAGACACTGATGAGATGTTTGATGATTTGATGACAAAGTATGGGAAAGTAGTATTCAAGAAGAATGACCGAAAGTCTCCAAGCGCTGAGCTCGATGATGATGCCGAAAGCTTATCATGTAAGTTCATTTCTCAATTAACAAAAATCAGGTTACTTAAGAGCAGTAGAAATCTGTGTGATGTCAACAACTTCCATTACTACTTTCGGCTTTACCTGGTAATTGGATAGATATCTCCACTTGCCTTATTCCTCAAAGATCATAAATTTCATCCTTCACGTTCACGACCCATTGTGAATTATTATTGCCCTTATACTTGCAAATTGTAGTCATAAAATGGGGATCACTCTGGCTCCACTGTGCTTGCCTATCTTTGTAACTAAATAAAGATGGTTCTCTCCAAATTCCCCCTATCTTGGCGCTTCTGCCCTTTATAGTTGCCTTCTACTCTTTTTTTTCCCATTGTTATAAGTTGATAGGGTGATTTGGCTGCTCCCAACTATAACATGACATGTCACTTGTGATAACAGGGCCATTGTAATACCTTCAAGTTTGACATTGACTTGCCAAGCACTGGCTTTATCTAATGTCAGGTCTGCCTTGAATATTAAAGCCCTTAGGTTCCCCTGCTGCATTGGCTGCCAGCTATTTTGCAGTGGATAACTCCAAAGCAAAGGATGATTTTCTCCTTTTAGTTTCACTTGTAGCGTGCTTGTCAATAATTGGGAATGTAAGAAGGAAATTATGTGATCCTGTGAAGGTTTTCATAAAGATGTTACTTAACACAATTCATTGTTCTAGCCCTGTTGGTGTCCCAAATAGCTAAAATTTGCATGTACTTTGACATGATACTCTTGTGCATCAATATTAATGCTATTATTCCAACTGCCTTAGCCTTACATCTCATTAAATTGCTGCTATGGTGAGCTCAAGATTGCACTTAGTTGTTTGGAGTTACTGCTGACTTGTTTCTCTCACCTACAAAATAAAGGCCGAAGAACAAAGGACCCTCTTGAAGTTTTGCTTCCCCCACTCTACCTAATTAATTATCTTCTTTTGAAGAATTCAGATATGACATGCTGGTTTGAGAAAAAAGACACCTACTTATAAAGATGCTGCACTTGCAATTTTACTTATGAAGAATCTTCACATACTTCTGTTTAGGTCCTATTTTCAAGGTATCAACATGTTCTTAGCTGTAAATGGTGATTCAGATTTTTTTTGTTTAGGTATTAGATTTCCTGGTAATCAAGGTATTAACGTGTGTGGCATCTTTGTAAACTACTTTAGAAAAGCAAAATAAAACCATACACCCTCTGAAACTTAAACTTAAGTAGCTCCGGTTTAAGCTTGCACCATCTCATAGGTTCCTGCTTTATCTGTAGTTGCTGTGGCAATGGCCAAGGTGGCAAGTGAGGTGAAGGCTGCTGATATAAGGGTCCTTTTTGTGAAGCCTCTTGTGTATTGGACTCAGTTTTTCATCATTGCAACAGCATTTTCTCACCCTCAGATTGATGCTATTGGGTATGGACTTTAACTTTGACATGTTTTATTTCCTTTGGTGAAATAGTTTAAAGCATGACTTGCAGCAGTTCTTGAACTGATTGCTTTTCTTCCAAGTTTCAATGTAGATCCAAAATAAGAGATTTGGCTGAGAAGAAGTATGGAAAAATTGCATCTGGAGATACAAAACCAAACTCATGGACACTTTTAGACTTTGGTAAGTAATCTAATGTGACAAATCATTGACACGTTTGTTGTATAGTAATTGGCATATGACTATGAACATAAGGCAAATATTGACTTCAGGGATGAAATTTTGTGCCTACCCAATCTAATGCAACTAGCATTGATTTTGTGCTTTTTTACCATCTTTATTCTTTTTCTTGTTTCTAGTTTCTTCCGCATCAATCTGCCAAATATGAAACAGTCAACAAGAAACAAAGGATAGTTTGTTTTAGTCAGCCCTGAAAAGCATTTTGGAAATTGATTTAACAGCAAATAACAGTAGCATGAAATAGTTTGTAAATAATAGAAAGTCTATTTATAAAAGTGGAAAAATCTATTTTGTGATCATTATGTTAATGAGTGTGAAATGATTCACCATCATTGCCCTTTAACATCCACCATGATTGAGTCCCTTGCTCAAGTAAGCTAGTTTCATAATTGTTAATTTTTTAGCAATGTTTCTGCCTGTCATAATTCCAGGTGATGTGGTTATCCACATATTTCTTCCTCAACAAAGAGCCTTTTACAATTTGGATGAGTTTTATGGTAACGCGACACTCATTGAGCTGCCTTCTGAAAACCGACCACCATTTCGCAGTTGAAAGTGACTCTGAAGGAATCAAAAGCACTGGCTGACAGATCTCCCGTAGTGGATGTGTTCAACTCTGCCAGATTCAGTTAGCACTCCTTGCTCATCACCTCACTCCTTGCAGGGAGGCTTGATTATGAATTACAGGGAGTGCTGTTCCATTGCTGGTATGTACCATTCATTAATCACATGGAGCAGTTGGCATCAGCATTATTATATGTTTGATTGCTTATATTCTTGTGGATAGTTTCCTTAATCACTTCCTTACTAGGGCTTGTACGTGTAACAGCAGCAAGCCGTGAGGCTCGATGAGTTCTAATGCATACACATTCTCATGGCTTTGTTTGCGTCTATGGTGCTCAAACGTAGGTTTGACTTATTACAGAGGTTAAAGTTGACTTATAATCGGAATGATTAGGCTGCAAATCTAACAATCTAACAATTCTGGATTGCTCCAAGGCACTTCCAACTTAAGTTTCCACTGACCACTATCAAGCAAGCTTTTCTGATCATAAAAACTTTGGCAGCCACCTTTTAGGGGGGGCACACAGTAAATCTGAAATTCAATCTCAGTATCTACACCCATCATTCCCAAACTGCGATCTATTTTGTATTAGAAAAAATGTTTTTAAAACTTCGCTCCCCTTAGGAAGAACTGGCGCTTTTCTTCAATGTGGGTTCTTATATATATTTAGGTTTATATTTCATTCAAGCGATTTAAAATAAATATTTTTTATATGCCGACCAACCAAGTCGAGTTTCATGCATTGAATTTGTGGTCTTTGCAGAGCTTCATGTAATTGTGATTGGAGCAAATGAAAAGACCACTGGAATTTTGTGCTTATATAACCAAAGGAATTTTGTTATAAGAAATCCACAGTACCAGAGACGAATTTATAAGGGCTGCTTCTTCACCCTCCAGCATTTACTCGGCCACGAGTTGGTTGAGATTTCTTTCATTTCTTTTTTTAATCACCCTATATAACATCCAAAAATGCAGCCCTTTCTAACAATGTCAAGCCAAAAGAAATAAAACAATGTCTTCATCCGGTTCCAAATGAGCTTGAATTCGAAATGCACAAACAAGAATAAAATAAAAATAAAATACCAACTTGTGCTTGAGCCTTGATTATCAGCCAAATTCCAAATCCAGCTCATTGTACAATGCTTTAATATTTCATACACACCGACTTTTGCTAAGAGCCAATTAAGTAGATCACAACTGAAAACAGTGTTTTTTTAGCAAACTCAATACAACTCTGCCATTACATCATTCACAACTAATACAATCAAACTTAGGGAATGAGCAGGGGAACTAAAATCCAGCAAAATAACCTATGGCTTACGAGGAGGCGAACTACTGCTGCCGCTGTTGCTGCTAATCCTTCCTCTCAATGGCCTGCCCATGAAAACGCATTCCTCAACATTATTTATTGGAAACCACATACGGCAACACTGATGAATTCAAAGTTGCCAACAAGAGGCCATGTTGGCCATAGGCAGAGAATTTTCAGGAACAAGTCCATCTGTTTTACTGACTAGGTAGTTGTTAATGTGATTTTCCAAAGACTGCACATCATTAACTAATAATTTTGGAAAATAACCTAGGCAGTAGAGAGAGAGAGAGAGAGAGAGAGATGTGCTCATGCAAGCGTAGCCTAGTCTCCATGAATATGCAGCATCAATAAAAAACGAACTAATAACAAATAAATGAAGAAAAACGAAACCATCTTGCAATTGAATAAAAATTTTCATTTGAAGTGCAAATTATTTAGTAAAAAATGAAAAAACACATATAAACAAATTACCTTCTAGGACTGCGACTCCTTGAAATCCTCCTTGCCACCTGTCATAATTGAAAAAAAAAAAGGCCAGATATTAAATAACTAGTAAATAAGGTACTCCCTCAAAACCAAAAATAATAAGCACAAACCTTCCGCGGACTGGGTGATCTGGAATACGATGATGACCTCCCCCGTCTTGCTGCTGGTCCTCTGCCTCTGTTTTAAAGATAAAATACAGAAATAAGATCCTGGGATGTGGAAAAACAACATTACAAATAACAATAAAATTATTTTTTTACTAACAGGTATACTTTCTTTTTAATCTACTAAATTCTAACTTTCTAATTAAAGAAAAGAAAAAGATGGATCCCAAAAGAGGGAAAAATACTACTACAACCATCACTTCTGACCCCTTATACTACCTAAGTCCAATCCAACACCAATTGATAGGGGCATGCAGAGACATGAAAGGAACCAGCATAAGCTCAAATTCACTCTTTCAATGAAATCAATCAAATTACTGGTAATTTCAGCCCATATAAATAAATTTAATTATATTCTCTATTTATTGTCACTTTTCTTGAAAATATTTGGCATGTTGCAGCAAGAGTAGAGAGAGATAATGAAAAAGAAGACATTGTTTAAAGCAAATCATCAGATGAGAGAGTTATGGTACTAATTTATTACCTCCGAGGTGAGATTGACCTTGAACGAGAACGAGCAGGTCTACGAAATGGAGAACGGCTCCGTCTACGACTGAAGGGAGACCTTCTTGGAGGACTACGGGCTCGTCTAGGAGGTGAACTGTAATAAAACATAATAGCATAAGACCCATATTACATGGAATTATAGTTAAAACTAAATCGTCCTCATCCTCACTTCATATCAACAAAAGTTTAACACCAAAGTGTCACTTATAATAGCCAACAACATGAATAAGACATACTATGACTACTTAATTAACAATTCCGAGTTTGTCCTTGATACATTATAGTACTCCTGATTCCTCAGATTCAGTAAGATCTTATGCATTTTTCTTTCGTTCACAGGTTGTGTCAGTTCACTTATACCTTAGCACAATAAAATTTAAGCCTTATGAAAATAGGTAAAATGTATTATTACCGGCGCCTTGGAAGAGGAGAACGCCTTCGGATTGGACTACCACGCAGCCTACGAGGAGAGGTCCTGTATAGATTAAATGGATCAAATTCTTTCAAAACTGGTTCATTTAAACAAGCTATTAGCCTATTACAAATATCAAACCTTGCTGGAGATCTAAGTCGCCTTGGAGGAGATGAAGGAGAACGACCTCTAGGTGGAGAGGCAGGCCGGCGCCTTGGAGGTGTTTCACCACGACGACGAACCGGAGAATCATGTCGCCGGCGTGGAGACTCTGGTGGTCGTCTAGGAGATCCACCTCTTCGACCCACAGGGGATCTCCTTCGTGGTGAGGGCAGGATTTTCCGTTGAGGAGAAGCTGATACCCATGAGTTAACAAGTTGAATAACATGTAAGTGACTAAATATAAAGATAAAAGCACAAATTAAACAGATATTTTACTACATTAAACATACATTCCCTTGGTCGTTTTGGCTCATCCCTCTCAATATCAGCATTGGCATTATCAGATTTTGGAAAATCTCTTTTAGTAGCAGAAGCAATTGGCTTTGGCGGTGAAGAAACTTTTGGTCGTGGAGGAAGTGTAAACTTCGCTCTTACAACATTGCCATCAATCTGGGCCTGCATTAAAGCAACGAATAATATCATTCTCAATGCTAACACTAAATGCTGCTAATAGTTTTACTTGGGCATCTTAGCAAAACCTACGCCATCCATGTACAGTAGAGCTTTTTCAGCATCTGCTCTTGTCTTGAATTCAACATAGCCATATCCTCTTGGAAGATTAAGCTGTTAATGTGAAAACATGTAATAATAATAATAATAATAATGATAGCATTCAAACCAGGATATGACTGATATGAACTTACAGCACGGTCCATTGCCAGATCGACGTTTACAACTTCACCAAAATTACCTACAAAGTGGGAAAATGAAGACAAGTATGATGAGCATTGAACTGTTTAAGTGTAATGTTTTAAAAACATAAGAAAACAAATAGTCATCCAAACAAAATGATATGCATTTCAGAAGTACCAAACTATTATCTAAATTGTATACAATTCTTAATCTTATTCAACATATAAATATAGCAGGTATGGAGATCAAATGAATCCTCCAAGACACATAAGATCGTCTGAAAAGTCAAAGTCTAAACTCCATCTCCTTTCTGTGGCCACCTTTGCTTAATCTACAATTACGTTACCATATAATCTAATAGTCTTGAACTAATGCAAAGACACTTATTAATAGTATCAAACCAAAAATGAAATGGCCTAAATGCACTCTTCCTTAGAAGCACCAATTCTGAAAAAGAAGCTAATTTTGTCATCTGATGGTCTCATTGCTCAACAAAACCAACATGAGACCTAATGCAGTGGTCTGTTCAGTAACACTTTGGTAACTATCCCAGTGGACCTTGTAAACTAATCATGCTCTCCTAATATGTGGGGGAATATAATAGTTTTCCAAAAGCAATTTATGAGATCAGAAGACAGGATAAAGTTTCTGGAACACAAGGACAACCTCAAATGATATAACAAAACTCCTACAGAAAAAATATAGTCCAGAAAACATGATTTGCAGAAACAAACATAAAGCACATACAATAATTCTCAAAACTTCTTCTAGATAAAATAACGAATAAATCTTATGTAATTTTATAATATAACTGTGAAGATATCATGCCTAACAGTAATTACGTTACCATATTCTTGGGGGATATAAAAACTATATATTACAGTAAGTATAAGATCAAGATCTACAAGCAAGTTAAGACAAAACTTACAATGTCCTCATACATTGACCGGGCTCTTTCAATAATTAAAAGGCCATTGATGGTACTCAGAATCATGCATAAAGAATTTAACATGCCAATCTTTCAATAAAAGTGTTATATACCTTAGGTTCTAGAGTGTCTCAGCTCTCAAGATGTATTAACTATTCTCAGTCATGTATTTATACTATTCAAGGGTTAAAAGGTAAAGCACGTACTAAATATCTCTCTTAGATGGCCTTCATTGACATTCCTGCTCAGTGAGTCAACATAAAGAACTAGGGACTCACGGATGGGAGAAGTCTTCCTGAAATCAATGCCAAGAACAACATAAGTACTTGAGCATAAACTCCAATCCTTTTTCAATTAATGTATTTCTTTTTTATAATCTGGAAACATGATCATACTGTTAAACTCCTCCCATATTATCACGTTAAGCATAATGTAAGTTTGCATATATTGCATATGATACATCCCCGTCCTCGAAACTAGTCAAAGTTTCTCTGGCAAATTTGCTATGATTGAAGAAAACTGGAAGAAATGAAAATTTCCTCATCCTCACAACTAGAAAAGAGAAGAATAAAAAAAATACTTTATTTCCTAAGAAACTAACTACAATTTAAATAACATTTATCCTGTGAGAAGAATAACTAAAATGAAAACTGCTGGTTAAAAGAATTATTGATTCTCTCCACTACTAGAAACCCATATCCACTAAATTAAAAAAAATTAATAACAAGTTTCTTTTAAGACAATTCCGTCATTTTCTAAATCATGTATTAAAAACCTTTAAAGAATCCATTTCCTCGTTGGTAATAACATATAGAAAAAGTAAAGCTTCTGCAGAAATTTAAACTGACAATACTGCTAAATCTGAACTGAGCATTGCTTTACCTTGGAGCTGGAGATGCTTTTTTAGATTGTGGTGGAGGGGAACGACCTCGCCTAGATGCATCAGCCAGACTGTGTCAGGGAAAGAAAAGAAAACTCAGATAAAAATATTAACTTTTAAAAGGATAATAACCACATGCAGCAAAAAGAAAAGGCAGTAGGGACAGTTACGAGATCTTCAACTTGAGACACCAATATCAATAAAGAGGTCAGCATTCCCAAATCCAGAATACATTAGAACCCCAAAATCTAAGTTTTAATTCATCAAATTGACTGCACCACAACCTCACAACTCATAATTTTGATCCAACTCTTACATATATTAGATTATAACTCAATCAGCCGCCAAGAAAACGTCAAAATTTACACTTCCTACTCTTCCAAGTAACCATAACTCATTCAAGTAAATTATTGCATGAGTTGGATGAACTTAAATTCCATAAACCAAGTTTCCAAGTACTTATTATTAGGTAGTTCAGTCATTTTCAGCTATAACGTGTAATAACTTCAACACTATCAACACAGGAAGGAAAATTGGTATCCCCATATAAGGCTCTGTTTAATTGTCACCTTACTACTTTTTTTACCCCTATTTGATCATGCTTCCTAAGAAATTGCACAAATCAAAAGAAAACATAGAAACCGAAATTATAATAGATTAAAAATTCACAAATAACTTAAATGTTAAACAATTCTAACATAATTCTTCTATATAAAATAAAAATCATTGCCTTTTATTCTCCAAAATCATAATTTTCTATCATATTTAAACTAGCAAAAGTAAGAACAAACAGTAACTAATCAAACTATAATTAGATTTGTTTCGTTTCTTTTTGCTATTAATGAAATGTAATTTTTTTTTCATAAAAATTTTCAAATCTTGAAATTTTTTTAACTCCTTATGAACAATTTCTAAAGTATAATAAATCTGATGGAATTAGTATAATAAATCCGATGAAATTTTTTTAACTACTTATGAACAATTTCTAAAGTATAATAAATCTGAAGAGCCAAAAAAAATGACCTTCGACGCTGAGGAGGGCTGCGACTTCGAGAACTCGCGCTACGAGAAGGAGAGGAAGAGGAGATAGATCTGGACCGAGAGCGAGAGCTGGAAGGGGAAGCAGATCTGGAGCGGGACAAAGACTGAGAGCGGGAGCTGGACTTGGAGTCTGAGCCGGAGTAAGAGCGGGAACGAGATTTGGACCGTGACCGAGAACGGGAAGAGGAACCGGAGCCAGAGATAGAAGGTGAGCGACGAACTCTCGTCGGCTTCGCCATTGGGGGAATACGGAGAAAGGAACAGCCGAAATTTCGAAACCCTAGATAAACCCTACGGGGCGTGGGTGAGACCGTGAGAGAACGCGATATATCCGTACCAAAAAAATTATCGAATTGGTTTTTTTTTTTTTTTCTAATTATTTTGTCCTTATTAAAAAAATGATTTTCCTCCGATTTTATTGTAACCCAACATTCACTTGTGAGTTGTGCCTTTATTTATTTATTTTTAAATAATATTTGATAGATGAAATTACTTAAAAATTACGATGATTTAGGTACAATAATTAAATTATCGTATTTGATAATTATTTAATAATTTTATATGATAATAATTTTGAATTATTGAAAGTGATTAGTTATTATATTAGAAGTGATTTAATTCTCATTTAAATGAATAAAAAATTTTTATTATCAAAATAAAGTGATAAATACAATTAATAATTATTAATATTATTTATTTAATATGTAAATTAAAATTTTATTTTTTAAAATTAATTGTTATTATTTTATTTTATAAATTTTTTTTATTTTTACACTTGTATTTATTATAATAAGTTCAAAAATAATTTATGTAATTTTTTTAATTTTTAATATATATAATACAATTTTTTTATTTTAATTGATTAATTTTTTAATTCAAATATTTTTTACATAATTTATACTATAAAACCAATTTATCTATCCATACATATTTTTTTTAATTTACATCATAATAAATATTATTAAATTATTAAATTAAAAATATATTTATTGATAGTTAACTAAATTTTATAGGATAAATTATGTGAAAAATATTTGAATTAGAGAATAAAATTAATATATTAAAATCAAAAAATTCTATTATATATAAATCTAAAAGAATTAAAGACATTACATAAAATATTTTAAAACTTGTTATAATAAATATTAGTTTGAAAATATAAAAATTATAACATAAAATAGTTAGCACTAATTTTAAAAAGAAATAAATTTTTAATTCACATATTAAATATGTAATATTGATTATTGTTAATTTTATATATCACTTCACTTCGATTATGAAAATTTTCTACCATTTCAATTAGAATTAAATCATTTTTCAAAGTAACGATCTAATCTAAGATCATCGTTATATAAGATCATTAAGTGGTTACCAAATAGGGTGACCTAATCACCATACATAAATTATCATGATTTTCTAGGTAATCATATTATACCAAATATTATTTTAATTTGGTGATTAAATTACTATAATGATTTTGAAAATGATACTAAATGTTACCTAATTGAAATATATAATAGAGTATTATATCAATGCATATGATGATTTTTATCATTGTATTTTATATATATTTTATAAATATAATGTAATTAAAAATATTTCATAAAATATATTTTTTAATATAAATGAAAATTTTTCATCGATTTTGTTAATTAATTTCTCAACTATTGTAATTTTTTATAATATTTTTAATTTTAAAGCAAATTTACCCTTTATTCTTAAATTTTAGAAGCAATAAAAGAATATTCAATAAAAATTTCATTAAAATTATTTTATAATTCAAAAAAATTTTGAAAAAAAAAACATAATATTGATAGGAAAAATGTCTAAACCAATTAAAAAAGGGATGTGTGGCATTAAATAAAGTAAAAGAAGATGAAATAAGGAAAAAGAAAAAAAAATTTCATCGTATAATATATTTGGATCGAAGGGAGATGAAGGAAAAAAAGTAAAGTAAATGAATATTTGGATTGAAGGGAGATGAAGGAAAAAAAGTAAAGTAAATGAATGTAAAGAAAACAAAACCTATCTTCCCTTGTTTTGATAAATTTTTAATTTAAAGAAAGGGAAAGAGAAAAAAACCAAATAACCTTTGGTTTATCTTGTAAACCTAATTTTTTTAATACTCTAATTTGGAGGAAAAGCTAGGGAAATGAAAGTTGAAAAATATTTTTTTTATAAAAAAATTATTATGTCTATCTTTTTTATTAATACTAAAAACCTAATAAAAAAACATAAGCAGAACACAATTATCTTATAATTTTTTCAAAGTCATCTTTTTTTTTAAGTAAGTTTCACATATCTTTTTCAATATAAAAATTTTTTATAATTTTTTGGTGATTTGATTTTGATGAATGGTTGAATATGAACAGATATATTTTTTAGATTTATAAGATGACAAGCTCAAATCCATCAATACATGTTTGTAAAATATCTTTCTGTTTCACTTGATTAAAACCCATTGATATAGCAATAATTGTGATGTTAGACAAGATAGCAAATATATCATAGTCTAAGAGTGCTCTAAAATCACAGGCAATAAAATGTTATAATTAGAAAAAATTATTATAATGAATCATTTCTTTTCCTTTTCACTCTTTTATCCAAAACAATGGTTATTAAAATTACTTTCATTTCTTTTCCTTTATTAATTTTAATTATCCAAATAAGGGTTATATATATAATTTCCTTTCCTTTAAAAACCTTTTTTTTTTTCATTCTTTTCTTTTCCTTCCTTCCTTTTATTAATATTTATTCAAACATAGCGTTACGTTCAATAGAAAATATCATAATAAAGGAAATAAAATAAAATAAAAAATTATATTTTAGTTTCATAATTGTTTTTTTTTCTCTTTTTGTATCACTTTCAAAATTATTTTCAATTGTAAAATGATTTGTAATAGAATTTTTTACTAAATATTTTTTTAGCATTCTAAATTTTGAAGTATTGTCTCAAATATTAGTTGAAAGACTGATGATAAATCTAAAACCATTTACATAAATATAATAGTAAATTTGCACTTTATTTTTAAGTTTTTATATAAAAAAATTAACACTTTACTATTTGGTAAGAAGATAAAAATTAAGGAAAAAAAAGAAAAACAAAGAAAAAGAAAATAATTATTTTTATTATTATATTTAATATAAAAAATGAAAAAATAATAGTAAAATTAAAAATCAAATTATTAATTTAAATTGAATAAGTGTTCTCCTACATTTGAAAAGATTTTATTTGAAAAAAAAAAAATACAAATCCACTGACTTCTTTTTCTCTTCCCATTTTCCTATTAAGTCTTTTTCTCTTCCTATTTTCCTATTACCAAACAGAAAGGAGTAAAAAGAAGGTAATTTTTCTTCCCCTCTTTCCTTCTTTTTCTCTCCTATCAAGCACAATATAAAACGCTGCTATCAAACACTATCAAACACAGTATAAAAGGTATATACATACATACAAATATATATATATATATATATACATAAATACATATATTTATCCAGTTTATCTGAAAAGTGAACCATTTCAATTTCAAGCCTTGAAAAGAAATTTTTTAAAAAAAAAAACAAAGCAAGATACTGATTGTGCACTAATATAATTGAGGCAAAAAGATTAAAAAAGAATGATCATTTAAAATTCAAACATTTTATTACAATAAATCAAACTCTAAATTTTTTCTTTTTCAAATCGATCGGACGCTTAAATATTTATTTTCATTCCAATGCAACCCTTTACTAGACAAAAATTAATATTGATGATTAATTAATTTTCATCTAATAAAAATTTAATTGATGAAAATAAATATTTAAAAATTTAATTAATTTTAATAAAATGATAATGCATTGAATGATTATTGAATTTTTAGTTGAAAAGTTTTTTTTATCTTTTAACCTATAATTTACTGAGATTAACTAGATTTAGTACAATTTGCAGGCTTTGCTCACTTGATTAAAGCTGCAATAGCAGGTACAACAATGATAGCAATCATGGGTCACAATTCTTAAATCTAGCACCATCCAACTACAACGATGGGTCAGTTTCTCCAGCTCAAGCCCCAAAATGGTTTTCACTTTGTTTCTTCAGTGCTGGTAGAAGCTTCGGAACGCCTCCGCTTTGCTTCATTGTCACCCAAATGCAATGAAACACAAAGATCTTCATCGCAGCCACTCCTCAAAGAAGCAAGATTTTCAGAAACAACCTTGTCTGAGAAGTTCTTATGCAAGGGCGATCGTCCAATGAAGCTTGGAATAAACTGATGCTCTACACTTGGACCGGTATTGATACCATCTTCCAAATGAAACTCGGTTTTTATTGTTGATGGATTCGTTTCTGAGCTGTTGCAGTCTACTTCTAAAGGGATATGCTGAATCTGAAAACCCAATGACTCAAATTTGTTTTCACTTTTGTCCTTTAGAAGAACTCCATCCGGAGGTGAAGAGTCCCCAACTGTGGAGGCAATAGCTGCTGCTGAGGCAGCTCTTTGTTCTTGCACTGCCACTAAAAATAAGAAGAAATGAAGGTAACAATATGAACAAGTTTTGAAGTCTCATAGCCAGTCTGTATGATGCATCTTTACATATGGCCTTAAAACTTTATGCCAACGGTCTTGACAATATGCTAGATGATTCCTTTGATAGCCTAAAGACCTGACCATGGTTAAAGTGCACCTTAATTTTCCTGCATTATATTCTGATTTTCAGTTATCATACAGGTCGTCTCTCTCTCTCTCTCACCAACAAAAACAGTAAGGAAATGTTGAAAAGGAAATATACAACACCAAACACTAAAACCCAGATTACTCGCACAAAAATGAAGAGAATATGTCCTTGAGCTAAAGGCCTTTCACCATCTTTATGATCAGCATGAAAATAACACGGTTAAAAGATCTACCATAGCATCAAAGAGGCACTTTTTCCTAATTGTTCTCCACATCAAGGCATCATTTGAGAATTGATAAGGACTCTGAAGATGAGATATGATATAAATACTAAAATGATGGAAAAGTAAAAGAAGTATCTTTGGAAGAGACAAACCTTTAAGCCCTTCCTCTGTTATGATGATATCAAGCTCAAGGAGGTTGAGCAGGCGACCAAGATCAACCCCACTGGTCCAATTTTCAGGTGGCTGTCCAACTTTTAGCTTAAGTCGGCCCCGGTTAGCAGTTCCACCCCATATGATTCCTATTGGCCTTGACTTGTCCCCATTTTCACCCTTCATTATTATGAGGCTTCCACTATCCCCCTCAAGATCAAAACTCTGCTGATTCTCACCCACAACAAGAAAATCAGTTAAGAAGCATATTCCTTTCTCATCATTGTATTCAAGGCCATAGGCCAATACAGTTCCTGAGGTTAAGCCAGAACTCCTTCCAACCTTCATAACTTGCTTACCGATAAGGCTACCAATTGAACACTGCAAATCAATAACCTTGACATCACCAATCTCTCCAACACCTTTAACAGATGTAGTAACAGTAGACATATCAAAATCATCAGCAAAAGGGATAAATGCGCCATCTGCTCTGACAAATGTTTCTGTGGGTGAATGAAATTGTTAGGGGAACGTATAAGCTTGGGAAGGAAAAAGGTTATCACATGATTGAAAGTCGGTTCAAGACGTGAACGATGATGAAAATTTAGTAAACATACTGAACAGATACAAGGGGAAACATAAAGCAAATAGGAAGGAATAACAATAAAAAAGCAGATATTGATGCTGGCACCCAACCCAATGGTGTTATGATAGCCCCTGCCTCCCCTCCCCTAGTTCAAACTTCAGACCTACAAATTGAAAGTTTCAAATTTTAACCATTGGTGTTCTTGGGGACAGGAGTAAATGACGTATCATCCAGCTGATACACTATCCAAGTAAAAGAGGGAGCTCCTCATCTATCCAACTATTTCAATGAGTGGACAAAAGGAATCCTGACGAGATCCAATTAAATAATGGTCCAATCGAGCCATAACTTCATATCATATTCCACATAGTACAAAGCATTGACAGTATATCAAAGAAATAAGATGTAGAGATAAACAGGTCATGTAATTTCAGCTAAATGCAAGGTAAAAAAAAATCCCTGTTACTTTTAAATCAAGCATAAAGTTAATGGAACATGAAGAATGACGCAAAGCACTAAACAGTTCTGCCTGCCAACCCATCAAAATGGTGTAACTGTGACCTGATTAAACCTTAAGCAAACAATGGCTAATGAACCAACTCTATAGGATAGGTTTAGCAGATATGTCTAAAGGATACCAGCAATGGCATGATTAGTAAAGCTTCATTATAATAATTTAAAATAGTTCAATAGTTTGTCCAAGTTGCAGCATAAGCTTCAACACCAAATCAAAAACTGAATTAGTGAAATTCTAGATATTGAAAAGTTCTTACCTGGGTTTGTTCCAGCAAAAATGCCATACCAAAGATCATCTGTGATGAAGGAAGTAGCTCTCTCCACTGCACCAAGATATACACCAGGACCAAGTGTTGGAGGCAAAGGATGAAACATTTTTTGATTTGGGTAATCTAAGTCAACTGCAACATGACGATTTGTGAGAAACCCAACCTGTCGGCTGCCAGTTTGACTTTTCACAATAGCACCTAGAGTTCCATAAGTTTCCTGGTTTGCTACCTGAGAACAAATAGTAATGGTGTACATGAAATTTTATGAGCCAAGAAACAAAAAGACCAACTAATAAAGAAAAGGAAAGGCCAGAGATTCACTGAACAATTAACACAGAAGGAAAAAGAATATCCAGTACGCAGGAAAAGAACAAGAACAAATGAAAAATGGCCAACAAACATATGCATATTCATCAGCTCAGATTTTTCTCAAGAGGCTCTCTTTAGTTAACTAATGATGAATATACCGTCTATCTATATAAATCAACATGTGATTCAAACAGAAAATACTAATTCAGACTCTGGTTATACAAAATTTTTTTGACAAAATCAAGTATCATAGAATAATATAATGCTGCTGGGAAAAAAAAAAAAAGATAATGCAATGACCCTTATTACCATAAAAACCAACCTCAACTAAGTGTTGACTGAAAAAAATTTAAAGACAGACTAGACTACTCCTTTTACTCTATTCAGAATATAAGGCAATTGCGTCCAAAAGGAAGGTTAGGCATCAAAATTTTTTGATCTATCATGTTGGGATTGGTGCTTTAATGCAATCCATGGTGCACATGAAGAACCAACCTAACTAAGGAGAATTACTTTAGAAAAGATAAAATTATAATAAGATGAAATATAAAATGGAAAAAACTAAAACTAAAACTTGAATCCTACCTTCTCTCAAACTCTGTGAATTAACTCTCCCCCCTCTTCCTTCCCTCCCTCCCTCTGTCCCTCCCCACTCACCATCTCTCTCTCTCTTGCTTCTCTCTCCTCCCTGTTTTCTACAACTGTAGAGCCAAAGGGCTTTTGAACAGCAACTATGAGAATCTTTTCCCCCAAGTTGGATTTTACCACAAGTCTGTTTGTACTTATCACACAGTTCTCCAAGGGCGAGCTACAAGGGATATTCAGGCATCTTAACATAGCGAAGGTATTGAGGAATCTAGTCAAGAATGTGAACCAATTGGTTATATGGTCTTGACAGAAAGTTATATGATACAAACATTTTCTTGCATAACAAAAATCGGCTGATGATGAGAAGTAAACAAATATTACTGAAATGCTTATAAAGACAATGGTTTGTTATAAAATGATTGAATACCACTCTTATTTCAGATTCTTTGATACCTAAAACTACTCTTTAGATATGATATGCCGGTTCCTTAATGCCATTTCAAGCCCATTAAGCAGATTTAGATGACAACTAGATTAACAAAGAAAATGGAGTTTGCTATGCAGGTTAATTGCTGGTGATAAAACTATAATACTAGAACCTCCAAGTTGCTTTGGATGATCAGAGCTCTCAAACATGCTTGTATACAAAAAAGGAAGATCCACCGACTACCATTCATCAAATACTAAATATTACAAGGCAACATGAGAATACCTGAGAACCTGAACCAATATGTGGATCACCCCCACGCAAATCATCCACAATCTCTGTGTACAGCTGCTCCTTGGGTGCTGGCTCAGGTGCACCGAAATATGAGAACTCCACTACATCCACATCACACCATACACCTCCTGGTCCCTGATTAAAGGATTTAATACTTATGTTACCTAGACACTGAACCCAGTTCCAACTAAAGGGGTTGAAACAAGATAAAACCACAGTGTAGTTGGAGTGAATAATGTAAAAGAAAAAGAGGAACAAAGGAAATGGTGCAGAATAGGAAGTAAAATTGTATAACCTCTAGGGCAGTAGGTAGACACTGGATGGGGCTGAGCCATTGCTTGTCAACTTTCCTGGAGACAAAAACAAGGATAGCTGGTATGTCAGTCAGCAAACCCCGTTTAATACGAAACCCAATTGCTGTCCCAAGACTGTAGCATCTCAAAATCTTGCTATGAAATGCTCTTATGGTCATTAGCTCAAGTAATGTTGTTGCTTGTTGCCCTTTTGGCAACCGACCAAGAGTTTCAGGCAGCACTCCTTTCTGTAGATTAGCGAAATAGTTTGCCCTCTCTTCAGCAGCATCATTTAATCTGCTGGAGGTCGGCCATGAAAAGTAAGGAGCATTACTCTCACTGTGCTGTCCAGCTGAAGCAAAAGGCTGAAGCGTTGGTGGACTAAATGAAGGAAGATGAGGATGACAGCAGCAGTTTCTTTCAAAATCCAAAGCAGATTCCTCTGATGGTGTTGAACCAGAACAACGACCCCTCATATTAAGTCTAGACCGCTCCATCTTTCAGATTAGCTAAGCAAATAATGCAGTGAAATTCCTGGAAACCAATACAAGGGACAATGATTCAAGATACGCATGCATCTAGCTAGACAATTCAAAATCATTTTCAAACAAAAATTCTTTAGGAAAGCAAAAAGCTGAAAAAAGGAAAAGATAAAAGAGAAACACATTAGAAGGTATATCACAGAGCAGCCAAAGTACAGAATAATCTTTCTTAACCTCAAATCCTCAAAAGCAGAATGCATAAACCATCCATCTCAAACATAAAGCCCAAACCAGGTCTTTCTTTAAAGAAGGCAATATAGTTAAAAGCAAAGTGCATGGTTCAACAAATTCAATAACCAGAGAGAGTGAGAGAAAGCAATGGAACAACCAGTCATAATTACTACCTAAATTATGCATGATCTGTCAGTAACTCTGTATCACTCAAACCTATTCCACATTATTCCACTTAAAAAATTAGCATGTTTATCGCCCATAAATCAGTTATAGAACCGATTCAAGTTACAAGCACATGTCTCAACATGTTCAGAAAACAATTCAACTTTGATCTTTCACAAAGTGTAAAATCATTCCACATTCAAATTCAGCACCTTCATTCTACCTTTTTGCTTACAAAATTTCATATCTGTTAACAAGTCAAAGCTTACTAGAACCAAATATGTTACCATACCTATATTAAAGAAACTTCTCCATCTCTCTTTTTTATTTTTCTTGTGCTAGGGGCAAAAAAACACAATGACATAAATTTTTCTACAAGAAACAAGGAGAAGGAAAATTGGATTTGACTTGGAAAGGCCAAAATAAATTTTAAAAAGGAAAGAGTGGCAAAAAGTAGGGGAAGTGATATATTCATGTTAAACAAAAGAAAGCTGATCAAAGTTAATCAATGGAAAATCTATCTCAAATATAAAGCAATTGAAAATTTGAAGTGAACAAAAAAAAAAAAAATACAAATGAAGTCAAGATACCATGCTACAGCAAAATTCAACACTGTAAAAGTACTAAAGTAAAAGCACATGTTATAACTATACACTCCATTATACATCTCTTTTTATTCCTTTCCTTTTTTCTGACAAATCAATAATGAATATGCTTTGTTTCATTTCAATAATTATGAAAAAGCTTAAATCTTCAAGCTGGGCACCGTAAAAAACAAATCAAACAACCAGAAAAACAAAGAACATGAACATTTAAAAGAGAGCAGAAAAAAAATCTAAACTTTACATTCAAAGCCACTCCAGAAACTGAAAGAAGAAACCATTTTTTAAAAATAACCAGCATAACCCAATTCGTGAATGGTTTAAAAAAATGGAAGAAATCAAAGAAAATAAAAGAAAGAAGAGAGGAACTCACCTAACAAAGAAGAGGAGGAAATGAGATGGTGGGTCCAATTTGAAGAGAGTTCTCAAAAACAAGCTGAAAGAAACTCGACTACATTCTATCAACCAATTTGACAGAAAATCTGTTGAAGAAAAAAGCTACAGAGATTGGCACCATAGGTCTGGCTGAACCTGATTCATAAACAAAGTAAAGTGGGGTAACTTCTATGTTGTAATAATGAAATTACCTTTTTTAATTTATATATATTGAATAAGAATGTTGAGTTGAGTTGGTGGGAATATTGTGTTATGTGAGAAGGTTCACTATAAGATATGTCATGTTTTTATTTTACAGCCGTCTGATCGTTTGAGTTTGATTTTAAATAAAAATTATGAATTATAAAATATGTTTAAATTTTAAATACAAATATAATATATTTAATATATTTATTATATGTGATATAATATGATATAATATGTATAATTAATTCGACATAAATAATATGAATATATATATAAAAATATAATTAATAAAGATATACACAAATATATAATAAAACACAACTAAAATAATCACTAATTTATTATTTGTAACTTAATAAATTTGATATTTTAATAATATAAATAAATATTTACATATTAAAAAAATAAAAAAATTTAATACTCATTTAATATGTATTTAATATATATTTTTTAACTTTAATTTATATTACATAATTATATTAATTTTTAGTATCAAATTTAAAATGATAAATTATTAAAGATAAAAAATAATATAATAATATATAAACTAATATTAATATTAATATTATATTTATATTATTAATATAAAAAATAATTTTACGGTAATTATTAAATAAGCATCATAATTAAATATTTAAAATATTTTTTACATAAAATTAAATAATTAATGAAAAATCATAATTAAAAATTAAAAATTAAAATAATATTTATATCTTTATATTAAATTAAATTAAATATAAAAACTTTATTAAAAATGTTAAATATATTAATATATATTTATATGATAAGATTAAATTAAATATATTATTCATATCATATTATATGTTTAGATAAATTAATATATATATGATATAAATTATATCATATCAAAATTTATATTGACATAAATAAATATAAAATAAATATTTTTAAAAAAATATAATATTTATATTATTTTTATATCTTATGTATTATCTATCTAAAATTGTTAATCCCTGCATAGACGTCTCTTTATTCATGTTTTTATAATTTAATAACCAAATCCACTGATGGGCCAATATCTCTAAAATATTTGTGACCCAGCTCTTATAGGTTGCTGATTGAGTGTATGAAACCCAAACTCTTGTTTTTCGGCTCCTCCAAAACCCCTTCTCTTTCAAAGGCTCAAGCCACTTCGTTTGAGATAGTTTAGTATTGAGGGTAAAATTTGCAGAAGATGTCAAGCATCATACTTTTTGAGGATATTTTTGTGGTTGATAAGCTTGACCCAGATGGTAAAAAGTTTGATAAAGGTCAAATCTTTAATCTCTCCTCTGCTTTTTAGTTCTTCTTTCTCTAATTTACTCACTGTGGGTAATTTTTTTCATGTGTATCTTTCATTGCTCTGTAATTTTTTTTGTAATTATTTATATATGTTGTCAACCTATCTTGATAGTAAAAACTTAATTTTTAAGCTTGAATATTTATTTTTTCTAATCAAAGTATTGGCTATGGAATGTGGATGATTTTCCGGTAGCTCCATGTTGATTGAAAAATTCCTGAATTTAGTTCCCAAGCCTTGTTATTATTATTAAATTTATTATTGAATGGCATCAAACCTTACTTATCTTTGGAAATACTTCATGTTATTTCATTGCATCCAATGCTTAAATATACTAGCTCCACACTCTGTGAAGTAGGTTGAATGTTTACTAATGGTAGATATAAACTAGTTCTAATGCGGCAGTTCTTTGCTTTGCCTAGTTTTTACATAAAGTATGTGTGACAATGATCTTGGCTAAAGGAATAAAGAATATCAGTCAACTTTTAACTTGCTTTGGTTAAGTGTTTTATTAGCATTTTCCCATTTACTATTTTATATAATCATGCAGTTACTCGCATTGAAGCACGTAGCCAGAATTGTGACATGTTCATGCACCTAGATGTTAATACAGAGATATATCCTATGCATGTTGGTGACAAATTCACAATGGCGTTGGCTCACACATTGAATTTGGATGGAACACCTGACACTGGCTACTACACTCCGGTAGTCTTCTTACCGTTGTATTTTAATGTTTAATACTCATTGCTAATTTGTTTGCTGCAACAAAAGTTATTCTTGTTGGAAATGAAAGGTGCATTCAGATAACTTCGACTGCAATCTCCAGGGCTTGAGTTGGTTGTAGCATTCATTGGGTCCACACCTTATAAAGCAAACATGAACTATTTTTTAGTTTCAATTTTGTTCTAGCGGATGTTTTGCATCCTAGTTGTCTAATATGATTCATAAATGCAATTTTTGATCTATTGCCAGTCTTAAAGCTATTCACAAAGTATGTTCCATCTCACATCAAAAACTATATTTTCCTTAACAAGTTTATGTTTTCTATTATGTTCTATTTTATTTCTAGTTGCCCTTCTCATATGATATTTGAAAATTGTATCCTTTCAAACGAGTTGCAAGATATCTAGTTTGCTATCGGTCTTCCTTAAGAAGCAACATTTACAGAGGCTGGTTTTCTTTGTTTGCACTTCTAAGCCCAAAAAATTCGTCATACATTAGAAATCTTGTCTCTAACCTTGTCCTCTTCACATGCACAAACGCAAAATAATTGTTCTTGTTTTCTATTATTTGTTGATATCTCAATGAAACTGCTCAGTGAGAGAGTTAGAACAAAGAGAAAGATATAATTTGTTGTCATTTTGACTATGGAGCAGCTTGTCAAATTTATTTTAAACAGCCTCTCTGGTAGCCACTATTTTATTACTTTAAAGTAATTTTCATTTGTTGTTGTAAGAGTAACTAATTGTAAATTATTTAACTATTATGTTATGGGTACAAATGTTTTTTTAAGATATAAGTTGTATAAAGTCTTATATCTTACAAAGACATTTGTACCCCTAACAAAAAGTTAAATAATTTTCAATTATCTACCCTAACTGCGGGGACCTAAAAGCAAATCCCGCTGCTCAACATAGGCCTGAGGGTCTGAGACTACTTCAACTACACAGGTAGATGTTTTGTTTCTTTGTGGAAAGAAATGTAAAGCATAGAGCAGCAGTTTGAAGTTTCAATTGATCAGTTTGTATTGAGTTTTCTTGGTGACTGTTATTTTTGTTTAGCTGTTCTTAAAATTGAAATTTATTACCTAGGCTTGTTTTTCTATTATGTATTTGAAGATTGAGGTCCTCTGATTAATTGTAATGATTTTCTTTTACTTTGATCTTCTGTTGCTTGATTTGATCAACTTTTGATTCAAGCAAAAGATCACCCACTCTAAATCTCTTGGGGAAAATAAATATTCATTTCTTTCTCAACCAAACCCCACACCTGTAAAACATCCAATTTGAGTCTTAAAAAAGAAGTGGCTTACATGTGAGACCTGAGGGAAAGAAATGTGGAAAATCAGAGAATGGATGGTGAGGACATCTATTCACTATACCGATGGTGAGGAAGACACACTGAGGTGTGGTATAGGAATTGGGAAAGAACCATATAGAGAAAAAGAAAATGGACTGCTGAGAAGGAGAGAATTTTTGAATTAATATACATAGAATTATATACTGCCTGTCCAATAGCAGACAAGAAGCTCTTGGTTGTTAATTAATTAAACAATTATTAGTTTGTTATTTAGTTATTAAAATTAGGACTTCGACAGTGTCTTTGTTATGGAGACTGAACATAAGGGAAAACTCTGTTTGTGTGTGTGTGTGTGTGTGTTTGTGTGCATGTAAACACCTAGATATTTTATCTATTTATCTACGTGTATACGTGCATGTATATATATTGATATGCAATATTTTGTTGCCATATACCTAACAAATTTGACCTGTATTTCAGGGGAGGAAGTCTCTTGCAGATAAGTACGAGTATGTCATGCATGGGAAGCTATACAAGATATCGGATGATGCTTCAGGGAAAGGACTTAAAGCGTATGTTCATTAAGCATACTTGGCCATTACTTTTTCGTGTCTCACAAATTTTGTCCTTGTTTATTATACCATTATAGCTACTTGGTTGGTTACTCTGACTTCATACTCAATAGGATTATTCCACTTGTTGCTAATTCACTAGGCTACATGATCTGATCTCTTTTGGCTGTTATAAGCTTCTTACTTGATCTTGGAATTGAATGTCTGTTTGTGATTTCAGAGAGATCTACGTGTCATATGGCGGGCTTCTAATGCTGCTTAGGGGAGAAGCTTCTCATGTCTCCCACTTTGAACTTGACCAGAGACTATTTCTTCTCATGAGGAAGCTGTGAAACTTTCGTTATATCTAACATTTCTCTTTAAGTGGGCTAAATTATGTGAACATCGAGGTGGTTCTATAGTAGTATAAAAGTGGCTCTTCTCGGTAGAGGTTAGTGTAATCTTGAAATTCGTCTAGACTATGCTTAAAGCAATTAGCACTGGTTGAGTTATTGCGGAATGGCACAGCTACTTGAGTTGCTGATGGCTGCCACGACACTCCAACTGTTAATTAACTCTTGCAACTGTGGTAATTTTATTCATGCTCTGTATGCTAAGTTTTGAGTATGGTTTCCCCTTCATTCTTTAATCATCCTTTTTGTTATTGTTCTTTGATGGATTTGCTAATGATTACATAGTCGTTTTGTACTTTAAATTTAATATACCAATAAGCCCTTCTTTTGGCAGATGAGGTTGCAAAACTCAATCCATTACTCGTAAGCTCTTTGACAAAAAAAAAAAAAAAAAAAAAACTTTAGGCTTTGCTTGATAGGCACTTGACCAAAAAGAACTTGCTTTGATTGAGAGTTAATCCAGCAGTTAAAAGAAAAGACTTTATTTGGATTGCTTGGTGGGAGAAGTCTCTTCTCCCCGTGTATGTCATTTTATACTGGTGCAATTAGTTGATTTGATCGGTTTGATTTAAAAAAATTGATAATTAAATTAATTGATTTTTATTCAATAAGTAATTAAATCGATTAATTTTTTTAAATAATCGATTATAATTGAATCGATGAAAATCAATTTGATTCGATTGATTTGATTAAATAATTAAATTTTTTATAATTTTTTTTATTTTGAATACTTAGTTAATTATAAATTTAATATAGTAAAATTTAAACTCAAGTATCATTTAAATTAAATTATTAAAAAATTTAATAATTTTAATAATATTTTACAAAAAAAATAAATAAAAATATTTATATAAACTTTTTTATTTTTATTAAAAAATTAATTTATTCGATTAGTTTGATTATTAATTTTAAGATTAAAAAATTAATTGATTTAATCAATTTAATCAATTCAAAAGATCGAGTATGATTAAAGATAAATAAATCAAATCAAATTAATTATTTTTTATTAGTTTTGATCAATTAAATCGATTTGAAGTGATTTTTGCTCACCTTTTCTGGTCACTCCAGCCATGCTACCAAATGTCTCTTAGCTATTATCAAATCCAATCAGTGGATTAATAAAATTTGTACTTTTTTCTTTTCATTCCTATCAAGTACTAACGTGTGATCTTTTCTTTAGTAGGCAGCACTGGCTTGAAAGAAATTCGATGGCTTGAACTAGAGTTCTGTGGTTAAAACTACTGTATTTTTCCCCAAGGATTTTAGTTTCAGCTCTAAATCTTTCACTGGATAACTCCTTCAATGGTGTACCTTCAGTCCTTCACAATTCCATGGGGGTGCCAAGGGGGAATGTCTTAGAAGAAGTGGTGCGAATGTCTTAGAAGAAGTGGTGCTTCTTGTTATAATGGAAAGATGGGCCATTTATAGAGGTGATAAAATCTAACTAAACTCAAAAATATCCTCATGGGTAATTCGAAATTGAATAGGATTTTAAACAAAAAATAAAATCAAAGATCCGAATTTTAAAATAATTTTATTGTAGACACCCATTTAGTTTGCGGTCTAAATTATTTAAATTTGATTTAATTTTTGGCCCAATGACCCAAATTAATTGGGCTCAAATTTGATCAAACCTAATTATTAAAATTGTATTTTTACTTTGTTTATTTATATATATATATATATATATTTATTTATCCTCTTTATTTTATTATTTATTTTATATTTCTTAGTTGTTGTTTATCTTTAATTGTATTTAGTTAATTTCTTTATATTTATCTAATTTTTTTAAAATTTATCAAATTATTTCAAAAAAAAGAAAAGGATAATTAAAAGAAAATAGTGAATGGCCATAAATCAAAGAGCAAGGATTGGATGGAAATGGAGTTTTTTGGTTTCAAGTGATAATTCATATCCTTAAATTTGAAATTGAATGAAAGTCTTTTGGAGATAATATCCCATTTCTCTTTCGATGATAAGATAGATTTTTCAAGAATCCAATCTTTATCAGAATATTAATCAATCCTTAGTAATGTCCTATAAATAGGCTTTGATTCAACACACAATAATGACAAAAAAGAAACAAGCAAAGGGTAATCAAAGATAGCAAATACAACAGCCACATAGAAATACAAAAAACACCCAAAAAAAATTTGAGAGTAAAAGTAGAGAAGAAGTTTCTAGCGAAAGGAATTTTTAGGGTTTTGAAGTTGTGAAATTTGATATGGTTTAATCAATGTTTTTGAAGGATTCTAGGAACCTATAATGCTGATTTGGTGTTTTGAGTAAATTTTTTGAATTTCTAGAAAGTTTTTTTCTGAAATTTTTTAAATTTCAATGAATTTTCTGGCAACATTTTGGCATGATTTTCTAGATCCCAACGTGCTTTTTTCGAAAATTGGTGAAGATTTAATCGGTGTTCTTTTAAGTTAGAGAGAGAAAATAGAGAAAAAATAAAAAGAGTGCAGAGGGTTTTGAGGGGAAAAAAATAGAATTTGAAAATTCATATCCAATTGACATGACATTGTTTTAAAGTTAATTAACACCTAAAGTTCGCGTGTTTTACCAAGATCTGACCTGACCCATTGCACGCTCAACTTGGCGACCTAATGCCCATTAGCTACTGTTGAGCTAAGTCGATATTCAAGCTACTCCAACTACCGTTTGTCCTTGAAGCTAGGTCACCTATTCAACCCCAAGTCGAACCATCCTTTTTTTGGTATTGTTTTTTTTTTTTTAAATTTATTTAAATTTTATTTTATAATTGATATTGGTTGTTATTCTTTTCCAATTTATTTATTTTAGTTATGTATATTTTATTTGTTTTAATTGATATTTCTAAAAAAAATAAAAATAATTTTTTCAAATAAATATATGAATCCTACCAAACAATTGGAGGATTTTCATGGATTTAAAAATTTTTTAATTTTAAATTATGAATTCTACCAAATGATTGGAGAATTTCATATCAATTTAAAAAAAACAATAAATTATTTTTAATCCTACTAATCGATTAAAGAATTCAAATATCAAATTAAGTACTACCAAATGATTGAAAGATTTAATGAATTTTCTAAATAATAATAATAATAATAATAATAATTTTTCAATCCTACCAAATGATTGAAGGATTTAAATCTCTGAGTTAAATCTTACCAAACTATTGGAAGATTTAATGACATTTTTTTAATTTTCATAAAAAAAGGTTTTCAAGTAAAAATCTCACCAAACGATTGGGAGTATGTATTGATATAAAATCCTACCAAACGATTGAAAGATTTTATTGATTATTTTTCAAAACTAATTTCTTGAAAGAATACATTAATAAATCCAATGGTAAAGCCTCTTTAGAGTGGGACGCTGGTCTTCATGAATACTCCTGATATTAAAAAATTATCTTAAATTATTACCAAATGATTAGAGTAACTTTCAGAGCAATTTCTAATATTAAATTTAATTGGTAAAATTACAAACACTTTTTAAGGCTTGGAATACACGAAATCAAACTGGTATCATTCTTTAGATAGTCGTTGTGAGAGTGTTATAACCTTCCTACATGTAATTGTACTCTAAAACTTAGATATGATTTTGTAAACTAGAATCTACCTTTTAAAGTTACCACAGTCAAGCCCAGGACTTTTCTTTAAAATGGGATAGATTTAGTTAGGTGGCTAATACACCTAAACAAAAAAGATTTGTGGTGACTTTTAAAGTCTATGTCTAGTTATAGGTTTACGGATCTATACATTATAACAGTTTAGTGACTCCATAAGGGATGCAGAGAGTTGGGCCAGTAAATGATTTTTATGTTATCCAAGCTTAACTTAATAAATTTATATATTTTTTGACCTTTGTGTTTTATTTTCTTAAATCATGTTATATATTAGCATCTATATACATGTGCATAACGCGAACTTTACACCCGGGTTCTATCTCTTAAAAGAGAGTAAAGTACCTACGCTTTTATGAGATTTTTTATCTCCACATGGGCTAACAAAATACTCCCACTCAAATTGAACATTTTATGCTTGTCGACTATAATGGAAGAGGATTATGGTGCCTTACTAATTTATGTTGGACAATGATGTAAGAAGCAATTTGGAAACTTGTAGAGTCAATTCCAAACCACATATAGTAAGCCGTAACGGATTTAACTCATAGGTAGAGTTATGTCCTTCCTTTTTGCAGAAATGATCCAAAATTAACTCATATATCTTTTGTTATATGCTAACCTATTTTTTTTTCTTTTTTTTTTCATATTGGATGCTTACTTTATTCTTGTATGTTACTCCTTGTTTGCAAGAGTCATATTTAGGTTCACCATTATTTTATTTATTTACTTATTTGTTTGTTTGTTTGATTATTTATTTTCATTCATTTAATGCATCCCACTCATTCATAAAGCATCATCATTCATATAATACATCAATCATAGCATTGCATAATATAGAAAACTATTACTTTATATGGGGTAGCAATTTAGAAGAAATGGGTGATCAATTAAAAACACGGATCCAGGTCTTAGAACTCATCCAAGAAGAATTGGGGCATGACTTGCGAAAAGTGAAAATACAACTTGCCAAGCTAGTGGAAAAGTTAAAAATCTTGAAATGGCCTATTCTCAAAAGTTCTCACGAATTTGTGTGTACATTAAGCAACCAATTTGCTAAGATAAAAAAACCTTTCACAATACTAATGCTGGTTCAAGCTATGTTAGTGCATTGGATGGCCCAAGAAAATATCAAGTCAAAAAGGAGATAAGGCCTTCTAACTTCACGCCAACCTCTTGGCTCATACCTAAATCCTTATCCCCAACCTCAACAACCCTTTTTGGCACCCTAAACAAAACCTATACCTATTCAACCCCCACAGATTGGCCTAAACCTATACTATGGCTAGTTATGAACAATGTTTATTAGCCTATCCAGTAATCAGATTTTCTAATGAACCCTCTGCCTTATATACCCATTTCTACTCTAAGATTTGCACCTATGAGTCCACCCATTGTTCAACTTAAGAATCGTTGAGTAAGAAAAAAGAGATAATCATAATTAATCTAATCCTTGTGACCTATAGTGAGCTATTCCTATTACTTCTCCAAAACTATTTGATCACAATAATTTTTTTAGAGCCACTAAAACCTCCTTATCCTAAGTGATATGATGCTGAGGCTCAGTGTGATTATCACTTTAGAAATACAAGTCATTCGATAAAAAATTGCCTTGCCTTCAAACATAAAGTGCAAGGTTTGATCAAAATGGGCCTGTTGAGTTTTGAGGAAGATGGAAAGCCTAAGATTATTAAGAGATCATTGCCCAATCATAAT